AGCACCTCCAAGGGAACACAGTCAGGGATGGTATTTCCTGCTAACCCAGGAAATGCTTATTGCCTGTTCTGTATCTTGAGTTGTTCCTCCAGCTTGATGTTCACATTAAGTTTGGGTGTTGTAAGAAAATGTTTTCTTAAAATTCAACAAAAGCATTTGTTATTTATCATTCTGTTGTTTTACCTTGTTTTTGAGCTTGTGTAAAAATTTTAGTTTCCTTCATTGAGGCCATTTCTTTTTTCTTTTTTTTTTTGACTTTGATAATAAGAATCTGCCAAGTTTTTCCCAAAACATGAACCATAATTTCTTAAATCCATTTTTTATTTGATCTGGGTGCAAAAGTGTTTGTAAATACTTAACTCATTTCTTGTTTTAGGCAGTGTAACAATAGATTTGTTTTTTAGTTTGTCTTAACTTTTCAGTTCCTGACAACGATGCTACTTTTATTGGATTGTCTTGTTTTGTGTGAAATTTTACCCTTCTCTGTTTTAAAACAATATGACACAAAACGGTATTCTTTGACCCAGGTCTGCATCAGAGAGCTGCGATTTTAGGAGATGGTTCAGTTCCTGATAATGACTTTGCAGAAATGTTATTATCAAGTACCACTGGTGACTATCGCTTTATTTCACGTTATTTTTCTGTTCGTCTTTACACTCATAGCCATATTTGTGTGCTTTTCAGTTAATACCACCACAGCAGTTTCATTTTTCATACTTTAATCATCAATACGTTTACCTCTTTAAAGTGTGACCTTACCTTTTTTTCCAATTCACGTATCCACTTTTATTTTTGCTAAAGCTGAAGTATATTTGGTGATTGTGAAATTTCAAATTCAAGCATCACCTCACTGACGCACTGTTAAACGTTTAACACAAAGGTGTAGTGTTTGTGCTTTTGCTTGCTCTACGTTGCTTCGGGATGCGGTTGCAGAATAGTGTCCTCACAGTGTTTGTTTCTGTGTGCATGTGAGACTGCCTGGATGTTTTAAAATGGATGTAATCTTCACGCCACCTCTGGTATGTTGCATCATACACAATTCATCGGTCAGTCATCACAGTTTAGACATATGGATCTAAAATACTGTATAACATAGTAGATGCTACCCTACTTTTTAACTGTCCTGTACCTTTGAACTTGGCTTGTACAGCTTTCATCTGCAGTTGCTGTTTCTGTGAACCGTCTAACAGGCTTATTCGTTTTTTTCAAACCCTCTGTTTGGGTGCTGCTGTAGTATACAGGGCAATCTGTTGTGTTAAGTGACACTGTTGCAATGTTGTAGCGTTGAAGCAAATGTAGTGAATAATCAGCTTAGCTCAAATGACTTTTTCATCAGACATCATTAAAAATGTTTCGAAGCCATTGTTTTCACCTCATTCATGTGCAAATAAAAATGTGATATTGTAAGGATAGACTTTTTCGACCTGTCCAAACAATAACAGTAACAATGCCTCAGTTCTGTTTAAATGTTAACTGTAAGGTTACGACAGAGTGACAGTGAGTCACCCTCAAAACTAAATGCAATTCATCGATTAATTTTCTTATTTCTACCTGCTTTTCCTTGTCAGATTGTCTGCTGTGAGGAAGGCCTATTGATGAGTTTTAATTTTTCCTTATCACTAAAACTTTCCTTGTTCTCTGTTGATATGATCACTGGATAGTTGAAGGCCTTATACTTGGTGTACTTTTAAATCACTTTATTAAAAAACTCATCAGTTACACAACACTAAGAATAATTTAGTCCTGTTGACACAATAAAATATAAAAGAATGCTAGATCACCAAAATTGCTATAAGAAACAAATCATAAATGACACATTGCACATCATTGGAATCACTGGCATACCAAGCCTGCTACATGTGTGCCCTCATGTGGTAGCAGAAGATACAAACAGACTCGGAGCACCAGAGCCATGGAGGCAGCAGACGGCACCCACAGCATAAAGATGCCCCAGAGACAATCCAACGCATAGTAGCAGGGTGTCAGACACAGGCTGGGACAGTGAACACTGAGCGCCATAACCAAGTGGCTCAGATATTGTACAGGAACAACTGTGCCGAGGATTTGGTTAGGAGTCCCCAGTGGGACGTATGGTTGAAAACAGGAGGGCTAAGATCCTGTGGGACTTCACGTTCCAGACAGACAAGCAGCTGCTGGCTAATCAATCTGGGGCAGACGAGGCCAGTTGTGATGGATGTGGGGTAGACAGACGAATTAGAGTTTGGACTAAAATATTTGACAGTGTAATCCAGCTAATTACCCTCTACGGGGGTGAAGTTTGTTCTCCACTTAGTCATCAGGGCGACATGAGATGGGACAAGCATCCCACAGAGGTCCTGCATGCAAAATTCTGCAGGTCCATGTTAAATTTTAAAAGACCTATCAGTGGATGCAGGGCAGAATTATGCAGTTTTTTTTACTGATTATTAACATCACGGATGAACTTAAACTTTGGTTGCATCTCAATTTACGGCCCTGAGAGACACTGAGACTTCAGGCACTACAAACCAGGAGCTGCTTCTATTATCTGGTCCTGAGACTTTCTGATCAGATAACACTGATTTGCCTCAGACCAGCACTGCTCCAACCATTAGTCAGAGTCAACCTAATTATTATTATACGAACAGAAGATGCTTTTCTGGTACACTGGAGAAATCAAACCAAAACTCAAAACAAACCTCATTACTATCTGGCCCTAAACCATGAATATACACTTGCAGAATATCTTTTGTCAGAGATACAAAGCAGAGACGGATCCTGACCAGATGTAGACTCAGTGGCCACAGTCTATCTACAGAGAAATGACGACTCAAGAAGTGGTGGCCACCAACCGAGGAAACAGTCTGTAGTCACTGATATTAATGGTGTCAGTCAGCTAAATACAACAATGTAAAATATGAACACTTTAAAACGTTTGACTGGTTAATCCCAAACTTCACCGAATGACGACAATAAAAATCAACAGATTGTGTTAGAAGATGGACACACAGCTGCACAATATGTCACAAGATTAAGAACACATAATTAAGACATCACTGAATGTGACAATTATCTTGACATAGCCTGTTAGACATATGGCAAACACATACAACATGTAATTACTATAATCATCTTATCTATTTTCTTTCCTCAACTTAATAAACTGCATTTTTCTTCTTTCTATAATCTTCTTTCTGTCTCTCTCTCTCTTTTTTTTTTTTTTAAATATTACACCATCATTGATGCTTTTGCAGTATACTTATGCCAATAAAGTATATTGAATTCAATTGAATTGTGGCAATCTCAGTAACAGTGGCAATAACAAGAAGGAGCATGAGGATATAGAGAAAGGAACAACTAGAACAGAGGAGGAAGGTGAAGTCCACAGTGGTCTCAGTGGTAATTGGGTTTGTGATCCTAAAACTGAGAGAGTGGGTCCAGCAGATTCCAGATACAACACCTGAGGTCTCCGTCCAGAACAGTGCAGTCCTAGGAACAACTAAAACACAGTGCAGACCCAACAGAACAGACAACAAAATAAATGAGATGAGCATGATCTAGATCTGCCCCACAATACAAAATTTGCTCTGGTCCTTCCTGACATGATATACTTAGGGTGAGTGCTTTAAGGCGTCCTTGTTTTCACTGTCACGTGATATAAGTCCTCACTCTTCTGTAACAAGCATCAGTTTGTGAATGCATCTTTAAAAAGCTTTGGGACAGATGTTTCTTCAGCATGTAACATCTGCACAAGAGAACAAACATTGCAAATATATCCAGCTGTAGTTTGCACAAACCCTATGTCTATCTGTGGTTATATTATATATGGGGGGTGTCATGTATTTACATTACACATACAACTATGTGCGTCAGGAACAGAAAGTTCTGCAGCCTATCCATCCGTATCATTTGCTTCAGTGTACTTCTGTGCCTGGATACAGACCACACAGGCAGGACCTGATTCCCATCATCATGACAACAGGGATGCCAAGCAACCAATCAAAGCCCTCTGAGCCCTGCTCTGGAAGCTGATTGGTTTGTGAGCCTGCAGCCTGTTGTGGAATGTCCATCTTTAACCTCTCTGCTGCCATGCACACTGCATATATCCTATATTTTCCCAGTGCAGATTACAGCTACACGTGTAATCCTGCCCTGAAATATGATGTCGTGCTTACACTGACGTGACAAATTGTTTTGCATGTGACAGCAGAAACATCTGAATGAAATGTGCATCTGTGAATATACAGCAAAGATATGTGCATGCTTTGTGGATGTAAATATGAGATGATTAATAACAATTAAAGACATTAAAACGTCTATAGCATAAAAGAAGTGTTGAGCAATCATTACATTTAAGTGTGGCTGATTATCTGTCATTTGCATTTTACTATTAAACCATGATCCATTATAATACCAAGTCATAGTATTCCAGGTCACTATACTGTGTTGTAAACATGACATGCTTTATGGGTTCAGAGAGATCCATGAGAAGATGTAATCACTGCATTGCAATTATATTACAGGACTCAATCACACAACACACTTTTTGCATTATTGTTATTATTATTATTGTTTACTAGAATAAATGGTGGTGCCCTCATGTCAACTTCACTCCTCCCATCATACTAGACACACTGGTTGGAGCCTGACCATTTTTCCAGACATCTGTTGTTGTTGTTGTGGGATATATGCAGTTTTTAACGACCGCCTATTTATAGTAGAGGCCAGATTAAGACTGAAACTGTTAATCAGGTTAGGAGCTCAGTGACTGAAAGTGCAAACACACAGGGGGAGAGAGAAAGAGGAATGACCGATACCTGGACCTCCTCTGCTATTAAATGGACCAGGGCTGATGTGTTTACACTCACAGACCACACACACCTCTGCCTGCCTTTGCTGGATGGCACAGCTGTAGCAGAGATTAGGGGAGGGGGTAACGTTTAGCCCGCAGGGTGCAGCAGGACCCTCCGAAGCTGTCACACGTGCACTGTGGGTTAAAACTGGTCGCACCGCTCCGGCTCTGTGTGTTTCGATTCATTTGCTCCCTGATTCCTTCACGGTGGAAGGGAGGTGATTCTCTCCGCCGCCATTTTTAGGGAACTGCCTATCGGAGAGAGAAACTTTGCTAGCTGAGCGTTAGCGGCTAGTTGGCCAGTAGCCTGCCTGCTGCCAGCCCGTTGTGACAGTTACCGCTTGGCAGTCGTTAGCCAGCTCAGCTCAGCTCGGCTCAGCTCGGCTCGTTGATAGAAATTATCTCTGCCGCCGGCCAGTATAGATGACAAAAGGCGGCTACTGCTAAAGTGGACAATTAGGGTGGGCTTAAGGCCAGCGTCTGTGTTTGGGTAGGGCAATTATGCAGTTAGATTAGCGAATTAGCATTGCTAACTTATCAGCTAGCGAATTCACACTTTGATTTCCCTGGACTGCATTGCCCGTCTGTGATTTAGCCTCAGCCGCTCCGCGCTGCCGTGTTCCCGGTGACTGGATTAATCAGCCGCTTACAGCGCACTCCTCAGCCTGCGTGGATTCATTCGGACCAGGTGAGTTGGTCGCTAACTTTAGCTCTGTGCTAACGTTTACCAGCGATGGGCAGATTTGTTCTCCAGCTCTACATGCTGCAGTGGAACTTGATTTCAACATCTCTTAGCTCGCGAGCTAGCCAGCCAGATCGGCTGCTACTCCCCAGCTAACCAAAAGTTGCTGTCACAACTTGGACGGTCTGTCGCATCGACAGATTTTAGTCTGCCTTTCTCGTCAAGTTCACCAACCCATTGTTAGGATAAAGGTGCTAGCTCTGAATGCCACTGTGACACATCCGTAATTGCTGTGTGTTTTCGGGGAGCAGGGCCAGGGAGCTTCACTGAGAGGGGCTGTGTTTGTTGTAAATAATGCTCATGGATTGCTTCACCTAAGCAGCGTTAGCTAGCTACGTTAGCTTGCTAATCCGCTTTATGCAACTATCGTTGCAAGCAGTGCCACTCCCTCGTTTTTGTTTTTGTCCGCTGTGGCTGTACGTTAACGGTGAGTGATACTGGGCTTCAGAGGTGTCTGTTTGGGAAGTTTGCTTATCTGCAAGGGACACCATGAGTCACATAGTGTCTGAGCTGCTAGCTGTGTGACGGTAGGTGACATTGGTCAAGCCTCTTCCTATGTATGTCGCACGTAACTTACATGCTCTGGCATTATGTTTACAAGCAGCATCAGCCAGCACTGTGGCAAATCATTGCTTCCGACTGTTCCTGTCGTGTGTTAGCGACGAGCAGAGCTGCATCCATCGCTGCTGATGGCTGTTTTTGTGCACTGACGTGAGTCGCATTCCTCAGTTTTCTGTGTTGATATTGCGTAACGCTGGCTATCACTCAGTAAGCTACCCTTCTGCTTTGCTTATCTGTGACTTTGCCGCTTAACTTATGCATGACACAGTGGATCAACTATACAAGGATTTAGCATCTGACACACTTTGAATATGGGCAAATCATATAACGCCAGGGTTGTGACATCAAGTTTACCATTCATCTCTAAAAACAAAATCGGTGTAGCACTTTGTTGGAGTGATCTCTCAGATGCTCCATTCAAGGCTTGATGGCTGAGATACCTAAACACCTACACATGCTTTATGTTCTATGTGCCATATATACTGACTGTGTTATCAAATAAGCACTGCAGTATGAGCAGTCTGCCTGTCTTTGTGGATGTGATGAATGCAGCCTGTATGCATGATCTGAGAGGCAGGTAGGACTTATCCTCTCACTCTGTTATCACAGATTGCTGCCTGGTTGTCTGTCCCTGCTTTCTATGTTCTCTGTAACCAGCGCTGATCTGCACACCTGCCATTTGTTCATTTGTGTGTCTGCAAGCTTGTCGGAACAACAGTGCATTCAGAGGCTGGAGCAGCTCCCTTTCTTTACTTTCAAGGACTAGCTGCTAGCGAATGATGAGAGGTGCGCAGCTGTTATTGGCTGCAAAACATCTCCATGCAGGATGAGCCTTTGCTAAGTTGTGTTTTCTTGTGGGCCAGTTATATATATATATATGTGTGTGTGTGTGTGTGTGTGTGTGTGCTGAATATGGGCAAACTGCATAATGGATTTAAGTGTCTCCCAGGAAAAATGGATTAGACAGTGGAGCAAATCTGGCCTGCTTCCTTATGTCTAGATCCAGGCAGTCAGTGACCGTCAGCCACTGCATAACAAGTGCTGCTTCCACACTGCCACTGTAACTTTGTTTGTTAGTGAACTGCAATATGTAATGTTTGCAATAGCACGAGCATTGCTTACTTGAATGAATGCGATGCTACAGTGTTTTTATTATATCGCATTCTTTTTTTTTAAATTTGGCATAACTGATGGCTAATCAAATGACAGTGAACGTCAGGTTTTGATTCCGTTGTTCAGCCTGACTGACAGTGGCACTGTCATTGATCCGGCAATTCAACAAAGTGAGTTATGGCTGTGGAGCTGCTCCTAAATCAACTTGGATGCCTGTGTGTTTTGTCACGAAGGAACCTAGTGCACCAGCGTGGTTTATTGATGTTCTTTTAACAGTTTTTGTGCAACAGTCGAGGTCTGTGGCACAGATGAATAAGCTGAATCAGGCTTTGGACAAACAGCCACACACAGCAGCATCAATTCATTGTTGGTTTTTAACTTTAAATGGGATGTGTTAGGAAGGGACAAAAAGAAAAATATAAAAAAAAATAAAGAGCTCTTGCTCAGGGTCTTTTTTTATTGAGATTGACTGCTAAACAGTTGGAAACCAACAACATGTTTGATGAGTCAGACACATCTAAGTTTTATTTTTAAGGTGATGGACAGACGATGCATGACTGCACAGTAAAAAAAAAAAAAAAGATGAGCCAGTGCGAGGCTTTGCTATTGTTTTAAATTGTGAGTGCACATTACCAATTCAATCAAGATCTTCATCAATTCAATTTTTACAGAATTTAGCCGATTAATTCCAGCTTATAACCGTCTAATTGATTATGTTCTAAGTCCAAGTGCATCCAGTAGCTTTTCCATCTGATTTGCCAGACCACATCCACTGAGATGACTTTGTAAATCTCTGAGTTCGAGTGCCTTTATGTCCTGTTGTTGAAAGTGTCCCTCTTTTTAACCAAGCGTCTCTTGTTCGGAGGAAACTTGGTATGTTGTTGATGTTCATGACAACAGGAGAGGTGTAAATGGAGAGAAACTGGATGGTTGAAATCCTCTTAATGTTTGCTCCCTCCATTCTTCTCCTTCATCACCATCATAACCAGAAACTGGGTTGTGTTGTTGTTTACATTGGTTAGCTCGAGAGTTTCACTTCCTCCACAAAAGTGAAAGCCACAATCTGTAATCAGTCTGGGAAACAGGAGCGTAGGCACCCCACCCTCCATCTTGGGGGATTGAAATATGGTGTGTAAGCCATTTGAATAACGGCGCACATGTAGGTCATGAAATTAGCATTTTCTCTGAACAAACAGCCATGATGTTGCAGTGTTGTTTTTATCGGGAATCTGACTAATCATCTGTGTGCAATCCAATACTGTGGCTCAGTTTATTGGCTGATTCAAGCACAGATCAGATACTGGTGATAATTTAGTTTCAAACCTGCACACCTCACTGGACCTGATTAGGGCCGGCCTTTCCTTTTACTAACGACACATGCACATATCTGCATCTCACTGATGTGCAGGTAGAGACTTTCTTCTCTTTAGGCTTAGGAACATTTTAATTATATTGTTGTTATGAAGTTGCACTGTTACGATTTCCAACAAGAGATAAAGAAGTATTTCATGTGGACAGGACCAGTTACATCTGGCTGATATATGATCAGTTTACAAGATGTATCATCTAAGTGCATTCCTATTTTGAATTATTTAGCAATACGACATCTAGCATCTCGCTGAAGGGCATTTTGAAAGCATACGTATGGATGGATATGTTTTCTGTTGATGTGTGTATGCGTGACTGAAGTAAAGATGATTGGAGGGACTTCTAAATTCCTAAAGTTTTGTTTAAAAAAAAAAGGGATTTTAGCTATTCTGGGTGATAACTTCAATCTAGAACAGTTTGTACAAAGAGGGTCTAATCAGCCACAATAACTACTAACACCTATATAGTTGTACCATGAATATGTAAGGGTTTTATGTAATTAAATCTGACTTTGTTACACATAAATGAGGGATAACCTTTATAATATATGTCAAGATGTAGTGTTACAGTTGTATTTGAAATCATTGTCAGTGTGACTCGTGCTTCATTCGGGTCTGATAAATAACAATAATTGACTTTGTATTAAGTAGTTGTAATGGATGTTTTAGCCTGGGTTTCAATCAGCTTTTTCTTCTTTGCCGTGCCGTTCCTATTTTGCACATCCCTTCTTTGTTTTCATGAACCAGCAGACCACAGGCCTGCTCCAGCGAAGCTTGTCTGTAGCGGATCCTGTGCAGCTAAGAGAAATTCACTATAAGAATCAATAAAGTATTTGATTATTTATTATCCCTCTCCATTTCTCTCTCGCTCTTCCTCCCCCTTACACTCCTCGCTACTCAGCTTTGTGTATTGGTAGCCTCTTCATTAGGCTTCTGGGCGATTTTACAGTGCAGGGGAAATCAATTCACATAATTCATCAAGAGGGAATCCATTTTCGCGAGCGGTAAAGCAAAACAAGTTTCGGTGCTCTCCTTGAACACACTGTTCTTCTTACTAATTACACATGCATACACACATCTTGCAGTCCAGTTCATCTCTTCTAGATTTAGTCTTGTGACTTAGTGTTCAGTGCTCTGTTTCATTGAGCGTGTGAGAGATAGATACCTGATTGTATTTTAGCTTTTCTGCCTACACACTGTGTTGTCTAGTCTGTTAGAATTGTGTACGGAGCCCAACATCAGTCAAGTCTAGTGGAGCTAAGTCCTGCTTTGTGGCAAAGAATGATGTACTAGTAACCTCCATTTCTTTCCTAACCTTCTAAAGCGACCAGGTCATTTGGTAAATGTTTTACAGTATGTATTTTTTGCACATACTGGACCATGAAGATGTCGAGCCATTGAAGGCATCACAATTTCAAACCCATTTTTATCCCGTTTAATTACCCAGTTTCAACAGGAAATCAATTGAAGGAACTAAGATACTCTGAAGTTTATTGGTGAGCATAGCCATTTCATAAAACATGACTTTTTCTTTGCTGGACGCATACTGGACTTACGATGTTGCGATATTTAGTATTAGATTTAAAAAAAAAAAGATATTTAAAAATGAAGACATGCCAGCATTGACTAAACAATGTCTCAGTGGAAGAAAACAGTGTGAATGGTAAAATAATCATCACAATAGTGTGGGGGATGTTTACATATTTATTGCATTTGTCTGTTAGATTTTGGCCTTGTGAAATATCTCAGGACCAATTCATTATAAATATAAGAATAAGGAGTGGATTGTGGTTCTTCTTTGATGATTTTCTGATAGGGCTACAACTAATGATTATCATTCAATATTAGTGTGTCACGAAGCCCAAGACGACATGCCAAAATATCGTTTTATTTCCACAACCCAAAGATATTCAGTTTACTGTCACAGAGAAGGAATGAAACTGAGATCATTCACATCTAAGAAGCTGAAATCTGAGATATTTAGTCTGTTTCTCCAAAAAGTTACTCAAACCAACTAATTTATTATCAAAATAGCTGGTGATTAATTGAATAGTTGTCAAGTAATTCATTAGGATTTGGTTTATCAAACTTTTGTTTGGCTTTAGTCAGAAAATAAAACCATAAATCACAAGATGGGTAGACTTTTGACAGATATAAGATCCACTGGTCATGCTGATGCGGCATCAGTCAGATTCAAACTGTGACAAAGCACAGCTTTGTGTCTTCTCTGTAATAAAAGTTATGTTCTCCATTTGCAAACCAGAAGAAGCAGTTCAAGTGTTTAAGTAACATTAAAATCTGCCCCCTTTTGTTTCTAGATTTCTCTCTTGTTTATGATAAAATGCAACTTATTTACTATGTTTAGGAATCACTCCAAGTGTTAGTTTGCTGTTTTGTGTGACTCCTCATTCGCCCAAATCTCTTTAATAGAGGTGGACAGTGCAGATTCAGGGTAACATGATAGCCACGTTAATGGAAAAATATGCCAGGTTGAAATAAAACCCGTGTGTTTTTGAGTGTGTGTGTGTGAATGCCAGCCTTCATATTGCCGACAGTAAATACTCATAACAGATAACATGCTTGTTAGCATTTATTTTATGACCTTTCTTTGTTGCCATGAGCGTAACCAGTGTGTTGCGAATCAGGCAAAGCATCTATGAGGAAGTGCAATCATATGATAACTGGAAAAAGTTATTGTGGTTCAGGAAAAAGTACAGAAAGCTTTGACACCAGGGTGTTTCTGACATTGTATTGCCGTTGCTGCTGCTCTGTCAGTGTTTCATACTAATGTGGGGAATGAGACAAACACTTCTCATCATTTAAGAGCAGAACTGAAGTTTCACTTTATTAACACCACTTCTAAGCTTTTCTGCCTTTCACATAAAAATGAGCAGGACTACAACCCATTTTACATTTGTTAGCATCTCTCTTACTCAGAGGCATGTGTGTGTGTGTAAACCGTTTATTCATTCTTGTATTAAATTCACATTATTTGGCATGGCAAAATGGTACACGTGGCACATCAGCATGTTTTTGTTGTGTAGATTTTACTCTGTTGCTGTCGGAAAATGCTGATCAGCCTGATTGGCAGCATGTTATGATGACATGTGTTGCTTATCACTGGAGCACATCATTGCATAGTTTCACTTTTGACTCTTTCTAGTGATCCTTGCTGGTCTTGGACTTTTTGTAGCACTTGCACGTTCACAGTGCGTATCAGGGGTTTTCCTGAATCAGAAAGGCCTTTAGGGGACACATAGGGTGAAGGCAATGAGTCTGTGGTAGCTTTGACAGAAATCCTTGCGTTTTTGTGTTCTTTCTGATCATTTCAATTGGCAAAATATCTATTATGTGTAGGTAAATCCAATCTAAATGAGCAAATCTGGTTGAAAAATGCTGGTCCTGGTTACAACCTTTTTGGGGACGTGCCAAAAATTCCTTTATGCATGAAAAATGCAGCATATTTAGGCACATTGTCCTGGAAAATGTAAGATTTTCTAGCATTAATTCAAACTGCATGGCCTGTATTAACATAACATGGAAGTAGTTGCCTCAAATCATTGTGCACATCAACACACCTAACATACCAGTAATTGAGTTTTTGATGCACAGTGCGCTGACCTGCCCAGCTTCATGAAAGCAGCAGTAAAATTTGAACTTGGCTTCTCTTGAACTTTAACAGTGAAAGTTAACTGAAGACATTTAGTGACCAAAATATCTGCAGTGCAATGATTATCTAATAATGCTGCGAGCACTGTGACAGAATTAAAACTCATGTGAATGAGTGTCTGTCCACTAGGACCCGAAATAGAAAGACGAGACCTTTGCTTGTGTTACCTGAGTTCGTTCACAGTAGCACTTTTCAGTTTCTTGCATTACAGTTGATTTGCATTGCCTCTCTTTAGCGTTGCCATCAAAAGTTAACTGTTGTTTCAACACATTTAGCGACAAAGTAGTCTGCTTTACTGTGATTATCTAATAATGCTGCAAGCGTTATGACAGAATTCAAACTAATATGAATGTGCCTCTGTTTTCTAGAATCCAACATAGACAGACCGGACCTCTGTTTGTGTTACTTAAGTATGTTCACAGTAGCAGTTTTTAGCTTCTCTCCACCAAGATAAATATCTTAGTGGAAAGAAGTTAACCTTGAGGGCTGTGTGTGTGTCTTGGTACTTTCGCCCTTCTTTGTTTATTTATATATATATTTCACAGTCAGCTGGGTAGCTTGTTCAGCTGGACAAACCTTGTGACATTCAGTGAGCAGTGTGGTTTTGGTACAACAAGAAGGCTACCGGACAACTATTGCTGACTGAGTCAACAGTTCTTCTGGCCCGAAGATAAACTGGAAGGTGCAGACTCACTGATCATTTATACAGTGATATCTGCATGGTGTTTTGGTGGCACGACCTGGACGTTACGTAGATCCAGTGCTCTGTCCAATTAGTTTTCACTCTGTAGGTGAACGCCCTGTTTTGCTCTGGGAATTATTTTCAAAGTCAGAGTGGCCTAAAGGTTAGTGTCGCTTGTTTGATCGCTGGAACATGCGGCTGGGTAGTAATTCAATGTCATCCTTTATGGACTTCTAGTATTGTTGTGTTGGTTTGACGTATTCATATTAATTTCAGAAAAATGCTGCTTTTTAACAAAATATATCCAAACAAACAAGTAACTAAAATGTTCATTCAATGGAATTATGTGTGATTGTTGTTGTAACTGTTAAAGTGGAGTTACTGAGAAGCTCTACTTTAGCAAATTGGTTACACTGGTGACACTGGGCAGCTAGGCAGCAGGCTGGATTGTGTGTATTATGTGTGATTATGATAACACATGGAGTATGCACGTTAGGCATGCTTGACATCAGACCTTAATTTCACACCAGACAAGTCTGTTCAGCTGCTGGACGCTGTGTGAGACAAATGATTGAAGTTTGTTTTTACTCACCCAGAAAACAGGATTCTGTGGATCTGTAAACAGAATTATGTACTGATAGCAGACAAATTGCAAGAAATAAACAATATGAAGTGTCTTATTAAGGTGTTGGACTGCCACGTGCTGCCAGAACGGCTTCTGTCCACCTTGGTATTAATTGTTTGAGTCTCTGGAATTCTGCTGGAGGGATGAGCCATCGTTCTTCCAAAACATATTTCCTCATCTAGTGATTTGACACAATTCAGCAAAATCAGTATTCAGTCAGGTTGGGATCAGATGTGAAGGCCATAACATATGACTCACATCACTGTCATCAAACCATTCAGTGGCGTCTCGTGCCCTGTGGATGGTGGCACTGTCATCGTGAGCGAGATCACTCACAACAGGTTGGAAGTGTTTCATCAGAGGGTAAAGGGGATCACTCAGAACAACTGTGTATTGACTTGCAGTGATCCTATCCTCTTAAGGGTAGAAGGGAAGCCAAACCGTGCTGCAAAATGCCCCCCACAGGTTTTTCCCTTTAATTTGTCACCCATCTCTAACTGTCACTCACTGGTAGATGTTGGAATTTAAAAGTTCCAACATCTCAAATGATTTCAGTAATAACTGTAACTTAAAAAAAGCTGATCAGGCCAAACAAGTTTAATCAAAACTCTTCAAACAAACACTGACAACGAGCAGCACATGAACATTAAAGCAGTTTCACTTGTGCATTACAGTATAAAGAAATATTAAGTTGCATGAGTCCTTATGTAACCAAGCTTTTGTTTTTAGTGTTTGTACTGTATATTCCAAGTTAACACCTTTTAGGGTAGTAGCAACATTTATTTTGTTTGTTTGTTTGTGAGCTTCTTCCAGTGATGAAATTCTCACTTAAACACACACAGTAGAAGTCGCAGTGTAATACAACAGTGTGCATTCACATAGTCACAGTCAGCATTATGTGTATGTGGTACACAGCCTGCATGTTCAGGTATACACAGCGTTGTGTTATGTTACATCGCATGTATTAACTGGAGCAAAATTGATGCATCCGGTTTAGAGTACACAATAAAATTTGACCCCATGTCCTAATTGATCATCCAGTGCAGCTAACCGCTCATTACTGCATAGCAGCGGACATGAAATCAATCTGTGAGCTGGATATTTGCATTGCCCAGCCGTTTCAGTAGCTTACGGATCTGCATTAATTGCATTCAGCAATCTGACCTGATGCACTAGTGATGACTCTGCAGTTATATTAGTGTCAGCATTTGAAAATGTGACCAGTAGCCAAAAACCACTGTGTTCAGGAGCCTCTGACCGTTTTGAGGAAGGTTTGTGGTATTGACATCAGCTGTCTGGAGACTTGCAGTAGCATATTTTAAGGATGTCCTCAGGCCCTTTCTGCTTCACCAGTTGTTAAATATATCAGTGGGATAGGGGTATTTATGTGGAAGTCATTAGACAGGTTGTGCACTGGGCATGGTTGTGTAATGAATAAGGAATATAGGGTAGTGTTACTCAACTGTTGTCATCTTTAATGTATTCTTTTCCTCTAATACAAAATGAACTTAAAAGTTGTTTAATGAAAACTGGAAAAGTTATGTGTCTAAATACCTGCATGATCCCACAAAGTCACTGAAGCAGATAATTACAGCCTTTAGCTTGGCCGATGTAAAGGGTATGCTTGATCCTTGTGAGGAAGTAAACTATATATCACAGCATTTTATATTTGCTTCCTTTTAGATCAAAGTTGTGCTGAGATTTCCTGCTCTCCTTTCAAAATCTGGCTGTTGACTGTCTCACTTCTATCTTCAAACACTTCCTCCTACTGCGTAAGGTCAGCATGTTTCATCTCGTCCTCGTTAACACCATTGTCTGTTTCTCTTTGTCTTCTGTCCATCTAGGTGCCCATGTGCTGGTTCCTCAGGCGCATCCATTACCGCAGATGAATCTTCAGCTGCTTCGGCATAGCTCAGCACCCAGATAGTCCCATCCCCTTTGCGTGGGTGATAAGGGACTACATTAACCAGGATGCCCTCCTCTGTAAGGGCAGGGAGCCTGAAGGATCCGGAGGTGGCTGAGCTTTTCTTCAAAGAAGACCCAGAGAAGCTTTTCTCTGACCTCCGAGAGATCGGCCATGGCAGCTTTGGCGCAGTCTACTTTGTACGGCAGCTACATCTTCACACTGACTCAAATATGAGACATGCACTGAGCTTATCAGGGCACACTAACTGTACATGTTAAACATTTATAGAGTGTGTTAAATAAAGGAGAGCTGTCAGTCTGAGTCAACGTTGTTCAGTAAATTCAGATCCAAATGTGATCCAAATTTGTCTTCATTTGATCTGTATAATAATTTGGTATCTCCAAAGTTAGCAGCTGAATCAGATGCATCTTATGTTTTCTTACAATACATTAGTGTCCTTGCAGTGTTCAAAAAAGTGAAGCCATTTGATTCTCAGCAAAGAAGAGAAACAGTTTGCACCATGTTATTTTTACCAGCAGATAGATGGGTTTAATAGCACCAGCATACAGCAGAGTGATGTGACTCACCTGAACTTTCTGACCTGACTTTGGTTCTTGAACGCTGCACGCACCACATCCCTGATGAGACATAATGTACAGAGAATCAGTGTTACAGTGTACAGCATGGTTGAAATTAGCACTGACAATGAACTCTGTGTTTTCCAGGCACGAGATGTGCGCACGAATGAGGTGGTGGCAATTAAAAAGATGTCCTACAGTGGCAAACAATCTAATGAGGTGAGACCAAATATGTTCTGTTTGTATGATTACTTAGAACTTGACCATAGCATTTTTACACCAAACACAAAGCATTTGACGTTTAAACATCCCACGCAAACTCTCGTTGTGTGCTTACGGTCAGATCACAGTGTGAAACATGACTTCACTTAAACAGTGGTTTGTAGAAATGTAGAGAATGAAGATGGTGGCCAGAATCCAAGCAGATCAAAGAAGCAACAAGTGTTTATTCAGCAGCAATGCTGTAAAAAAAAAGAAGAAAAAGCTCCAATATACATCTGTGTAAAATTCCTTAAATTTAGAGGAGCATCTCAAATGAAAAGCAGCCTTTGTAAAACACCATTTTAGTAAATTCTTTGTGTTTTGGTTTTTAAACATATTGGATTGTTACATAGGTCCCCTTTTTACACTCATCACATCAGTCTGGGTTTTTGTATTGTACTTTCTGTGCTTGATCTTGACACAAAAACAAATGTTTGCAACAAATCCTAAATATCACAAAATCCAAACATCCAGACAGTGAGAGAAAACAAAGCTCCTGTTTCTGGGCTTCTGCAGTACTGCGATTCACTGAAGTATCAGTGACTCAACCGCTTTGCTAGATCGAGGATAGATAATGGAATCTGGTTATCTATAATTAATTTAAAGCAGTGAAAGACCAGATAAAGATCTGCTGGACTGTCGCATTAATCGTTGTAATTCTGCCTTCAAATCCCCCAAACTTTACCATCTCAACAAAGCTACTCCTGGCTGCTCGTTGTCACTGCTGTGGTCCCAGACACAGTCCACAGTGCTCGTGATTTCACATTACACGTAATTTGTAAAGAGAACCACCGTACTCCTATTTGCCCTTAAAGACAAGCTAACACACAGCCATTCGCCTCTTGTGCTCAAAGCCAAGAGAAGCATTGCTAGTTTGATTTTTACGCTGCTTCTTTCCCCAAACAGAAATGGCAGGACATCATAAAGGAGGTGAAGTTTCTCCAGAGGATCCGACACCCCAACAGTATAGAATACAAAGGCTGTTACCTCCGTGAGCACACAGCATGGGTAAGTCACATGTTTACATGGAGACAATTAGAAGATGATCTCATTCAGTATGCATAGTCTTGACGTTATCTCTTGTTTGTAGCTGGTGATGGAGTACTGTCTCGGCTCAGCCTCTGACCTCCTAGAAGGTGAGGAAATAGAGATTTAAGATGTGTAATGTATGACTAAGCTCACAGAAAGTAGCTCACATTGGTGTGTTTTCATCAACTGATTTTTTTTGTTTTTTCATTACACAGTTCATAAAAAACCTCTACAAGAAGTTGAGATTGCTGCCATTACACATGGTGCTCTGCAGGGGCTGGCCTACCTTCATTCCCACAATATGATCCACAGGTGACGTTTACATTACCTGCATCGTTCTTTTTGTTTTTGGGTTAATAAGCAGCAGCAAACACAACATCTCGCCACATAGCCCCCTGCTCTGACATGCACATGTTTTCTTTCTCTCTCAGGGATGTGAAGGCAGGTAACATCCTGCTGACTGAGCCTGGGCAAGTCAAACTGGCAGACTTTGGCTCTGCCTCCATTGCCTCGCCTGCCAACTCCTTTGTGGGAACGCCATACTGGTAAGTGAACACCGAAAGGAACAGTGTTAAATGTTGAACCAACCAAAATGCTGACTTTTTGAAGGCTCTCTAATTGAGTGTCTGCTTAAAGAAACAATGATTGATGAAATGGATTTGACTGTAAAAGTATTTGCCTCAGTTTGCATATTCACACATAAGTAGTAAGCTGCCTGCTGACACATTCAAATACTTTGGTGCTGTGATTGTTGGGGACAGCGTTTACTCAGGATTGAGGCATTTTCTGATGTACTGTTTTCAGAAAATAGAAGCCAATATATTTTTGGGTGTCTGGCATTATTTAATATGAGATTTAGTACGACACAATCAATCACAATATGTCTTGTACAGTGACTGAAGATTACAGTTGACAAGTTTATCTGTGGTATTTATGCTGCAGAGTAAATGACAAACACTGTTATTTATTACAAAGAATAAAGCGATAGTGCCTTTTAGTGTGAAGAATTACAGTAAAACAGAGGTACTGTTCTCCTTTTTTCTTGTTTTTTCTTTTTTTAAAATAGGTGAGTGCGACTGCGCATACATACAAATAATCTCTCTTTTTTGTTGAATGGCAAATGGCCTATACTTACAATTCCTTTTTTATTTATTTATTTTTTTTAATAAGCTAGATTCGACAAAGCGCTTTACAATGTGTTTCTTATTCATCCATTCACACACACCTCTTCCATTAGGAGCAACGTAGACTCAATGTCATGTCCAAGGACACTTTGGCACGTGAAAGAAAACCAAAAAAAGTTACTTTAAACTTTTAATTTGTTCTTCTCTGTTTCATACGCCCACTGTTTCTTTCTCCTCTTCATGCAGGATGGCCCCGGAGGTGATTCTAGCTATGGATGAGGGCCAGTATGACGGGAAGGTGGATGTCTGGTCCTTAGGGATCACCTGTATAGAATTAGGTTGGTACCAAATGTTTTCTAGTCTATCTATTAACATGCAACTATAGTAGACAGAAGAGAATATTTTTCTCTAAACTTACTTAATTGCATTTCTAAATATATAACATTAACCATCCTTGACAAACTGATTGACAGATCTTTGAATACAAGTTCTAACTCCAGTAACTGCATCTGTTTAACTACTAAGATCTGTGCAGATTTGTAAATAAGAAGTTTGATTAATCGGCTTTTTTGATGCATTCAACTATAAATTAATCCTATATTTTCCCTTCTCATCACTTGAAAGAAACTGTCAGCTGCAGCTTTAAGAATTCAGTTACTTATCATAATAAACCAGTATTTTAATAGGAATGAACACATACTGACTGTTGTCTCTTCTGTTGCAGCGGAGAGGAAGCCTCCCTTGTTTAACATGAATGCAATGAGTGCCTTATACCACATAGCGCAGAATGAGAGCCCCACACTGCAGTCCAGTGAATGGTAAGGTGTCGCACACCAACAGAATTTATCATCTGTGTACTTAAATCCAGCTATGTGCATATACTTGCAGCAAAGAGAGACACAAACCAGAGATGACATTGTATGTTATGTGGAAGCCTGTGCAGAAGCCAGTGGTTTAAAGCCACTTTAAAACTGGAAAAATACAATAAAACCCATTATTGACTTTGCGCCTACTGTAATGATGTTGCATGTTTTACATCTTAAACGGTTGTGTTTGTTCATATAACAGGTTTTCTGTCTGTTGTTGTTGTTTTGACCCATTATCTTCTCATCTTTGCTCCAGGACGGATTACTTTAGGAACTTTATCGATTCTTGCCTTCAGAAAATCCCCCAGGACAGACCACACTCTGACGACATGTTGGGTGTAAGTGCACACGTTCTACACAGAAACAGAGCAGGGTCAGTGTGCTAAGATGGGAGACTGACAAGCCCTCTGGTGATAAATCTCTCTCTGATGTTTGCGCTCTGTCCTGTCCCCCATAAGCTTCTCTTTTGATTCACTAATCCTCCACTTCCGGATTCACACACACACACACACACACGCACGCACACACTCACACAAACAAAACATGTACAGAGACACACACACAGCTTGGTTTTGTAGAAAGAACACAGATGTAATTACTGTAGAGATGTGACTTCTGCCTCCATCGTTAAGTAACTGAGCAGCTGTCACTTAGCCCACTAATGGACTCACTGTTACTAATGGAAGTTGTCCTTAGGGTATCGGAGCACTTTTTCTTTTTTTTTTTTAAATTATAAGTCGCAAAACAGAGCTTATTTTAACCAATTAAAACCATCACAATGATATTTTAATTGCTTTTCCATGTGATCCTCTTCAGTTGGACTTGTGGCCCAATTTCACCTCCTAGCAAAGTGTGTGGAGCAAACAAATTTCTATCAGCCGGGGTTCTCTTGTCAAAATCTTCTATCTTTGTTAGGTTTGACAGTCAACAATTTTACAATCCATTCAAGCACACAGTACTTTCTCTTTTTATTGTGAAAAATTGCAGATGTACATGCAGCAGGAGGTAGAAAACCCATGCCACAATCTAATAATAGCCATTATATGTGCATTTCTACCTATACACATTTTAGGTATTGCAGCACTCATCCAGGCATTTCCATGTAAACGTTGTTTTTCTCTGAGTATGACACATGTTCCAGCCTAGCCAGGAGTCGTAGCAGAGATGATGCTGAAACCGGACTGCATGAAGTTTTATCTTTGCTAAAAAGAGATCCTGCTCACACTGCATTAGCAATGCTAACACAAAAAAAACATTTGTACTAAGATATATGTTATTTTCATTTCCATTCCATTGACATAGTGCCAGTTCACAACATAAATTATCTCAAGGCACGTCCCATGGTAAAGACCTTACAAAATGCTATATTATACAGTTGTAATAATAATATTAATATTCAGATATTATACTGAAGCATAGAAACGCCCTCATTTTGCATATTGTATCAGCAGTGTTGACACATAGCAGCACTAAACAGTGTTTAATGATGCGTTACATTAACTTGTAAGTGTGTGAAAAACCTCATGTTGGGTGACATCGGTGTAAAACGGCAAACTTAACTCATGTATGTCAGTAGAGGATTTAATATGTAGTCATTTGTATTATTGAGCAGCAGACAGGATCATGAAAAGATTCTCTGTTTTTCTTCCCTCTGAAAAGAAAGGACAAGATCTTTGAGCCAGATAAATGACACCAATATTAAACAGTCATAAACGCACACTAGTGCTCTGAGCTCTCTTACTTGCACAGAATCCATCCACCTTCCATTACGATGCAGACCTTTGACACTATCACTGTGGCTAATAGCTAATTCTGCAATCACTCTTTCCTATTCGGTTATTGGACTTTTTTCTTCGTTGATTTTGCAATTTATGGCACAAAATCAACTTTACGTGTTCATCTCCTCATAAGGTGTCACTGATGCTGCTTTGTTGATGACTTTACTCATAAACCTGACAACTAAAGACAATAAGTTTTGCAAATGATTTGTGTTTTTCTCCTGGTCATTCCCATCGTCCTTCTGTGACTTCTCCATTCATTGCATTCTGTCTCTTGTGTCCCGTCACCCCGCTTCTCCAGCATGCGTTTCTGCAACGGGAACGTCCAGACTCGGTGCTGATGGATCTTATTCAGAGAACCAAGGATGCAGTGCGAGAGCTGGATAACCTGCAGTACCGCAAGATGAAGAAGATCCTCCTTCAGGAGGCCCACAACGGACCAACAACAGAAACCCAAGATGGAGACGAGGTGTGTGGATGTTTCTATGTTGAAATCAAAACTGAAGAATTGAATTGAAGAATAAGTTTTGTGTGGGTGCAGAAATACATTTGCCACTTTCACGGTATTCAACCATATAGTGAAAAATAACCAAGCATGCATCGGTTTGTATGCATGTGTGTGTCTGTGTCCTCTGTGTCTCTCTGTCTTTCTCGTGTCTCCTCTCTGGCTTCGTCTCTCTCCCTCGCTGTCTTTCTCTCTCCGCTCTTTCCGCTCTGTCTCCAGGATCTGGAGCCGGGTGGAGGTCGGACCGGAACCGTGAACAGCGTTGGCAGTAATCAGTCCATCCCCAGCATGTCCATCAGCGCCAGCTCCCAGAGCAGCTCCGTCAACAGCCTGAACGAAGCCGCTCAGGACAGCCGCAGCGAGCTGGACCTGATGGAGGGAGACCACACGGTGATGTCCAACAGCTCCGTCATACACCTCAAACCGGTGGGTGAAATGACACCGACACACATGATCGATTTAAAGGGACACCACGCTGATTTAACATATGCAGATTAATTCAGAAGAATGTTTTCAGCCTTTTTCTGGTGTGACAAAATGACTGAGGCGACTTCACTTCAGTCATTTCAGAAGTGGAAGACAGATGTGGGTTGCATTATGGGAAATATAGCATCTAGTAGTTTGGGAGTTGTATTTATTTATTTTTTTGAGCCAGGATGTGTCATGTTCTGCTGAATCCCATTAATAATTCTTTTGGTTTAATTTCTTACCTGCAAGGTTCTGGAATAATTGATTGATCGACACTTTAACTAACTGTATTCATTTATTTTGTTCAGACTTCTTAGAATTGTTTAGCGTCACAGGTTATGTAGAAATGTGAAAAATTACCATGATGGTTGGAAGGTGAGCCAGAAACTTGTTCATGGATAGGATGAATAAAACTTTTTTTTAAATCTATTGCTTTTGAACAAGGATATTTTTAGTGAACTGATTTGTAAAGCTGTATTTTGATAGGGTATTGTGATAAGTTCCCACAGCACTTTGATACACAGATTCAGAGTTGCATAGAGACTTCATCACTGTGATGATTCTCTGATAATTTGGTGCTGAATGCTGTTTCTGACTTGTTCTTCTCTGACTCTGACCCAAACCCTCCCATGCTCCCTATTGCTTTGTGCCATATCTGCACTGTTGTATGCCATAACAAAGTAATATGTTCATTTTGTCGCTTTATCTCGTCATCAGGAGGAAGAGGAGAGCTTCTCTGGGGAGCAGGCAGCCAGCAGTCAACCCACTGAGCCTCAGGCAACACCAGTTCCAGCCCCAAGAAAGCACTACCGCAACAGAGAGCACTTTGCCACCATACGCACAGCATCACTCGTAAGAACACACTTGTTTGCTCTTGCATGCATCACACAGAATTTCATTTGTTAGTTACTGTGTAACACAAAAGGGGAAAAAATGAAATATTTTGTGATTTACATAAAAAAAAGGATTGTAATAATAAGTGTCTTCCACATAACAAACTCTTTCAATGTTACACACTTGAGTAGATGCATGTAACCATCTACAACCACCAGGGTCATAATCTGAGTCTTAAGTGTGTGACTGTGCTGATCCCGTAGGTGACGCGTGAGATGCAAGAACACGAGCAGGACTCTGAGTTGAGGGAGCAGATGTCAGGATACAAACGCATGAGGCGGCAGCATCAGAAGCACCTGATGGCCCTGGAGAACAAGCTGAAAGGGGAGATGGATGAGCACCGGCTGAGGCTGGACAAAGAGCTGGAGAGTCAGAGGAACAACTTCACCCAGGAGATGGAGAAACTGCTCAAAAAACACCAGGCAGCCCTGGAGAAAGATGTATGTGGACAGTTGAAGCAAAATACACTGACCTACCGATAATGCATATTCTGCAAATACTGAAATATTACACAGTTCTTTTTTTTAAAGTCTTAATTAATGTTCATGTTTGATTCAGCTGAAGACGTTTGCCAACGATGAGAAAAAGTTCCAGCAGCACATTCAGGTGCAACAGAAGAAGGAGCTCAGCAGCTTCTTAGAGTCACAGAAGCGAGAGTATAAACTACGCAAAGAGCAGCTCAAAGAGGTAACACACATGATCCACATTCTTGTAAACCATAACTAGGGATGACTTTGTTTTCAACTAAAAAAAAACAACTAAACATGCATAAATATATTCATACTTGAAAGTTTTAGGTGCATTGCAAACTGCACATCGCAAATATTGTTTACTATACATGTGTAAGTGTACATTTCTTGCATCATTTTTCTTGGTCAAGATCAGTTATGTTATTATTGTTGGGTAATTTTGGTAGACAGAATTACTGCAGGCTTGATGATTGATTTATTTTTTGGATTAATCAGTTAACCATTTATGTATAGGAAAAAGAAAAAAAACAAAGAGCAGCTACATTTTAAAGTTCCATCTAAACATGGCACATTTTGCACTGTGCATCCCTCAGTGCACACACATCCATTTATATTCTCCACCTGTCTGCATCGTAGTTATGTATTTCGCTGTGGCCAAATATCGTTGAGATTATCTTCTGTCAGTCTATACTGGCTTTAAATGGGAGATACTGGCTTCATGTATGTAGCCTATTTGTGTAATGTCCCCACTAACGCTCTCCTATGGATTAATCCTTCTGCTGTACTGAGGTGCTGAGCGTTGATGAGTTTTAGAGGAGTGGGTTTGGGGCGGAACTAGAGGCACCTGTGTGCTTTGATTAACAACAGAGAAATGTGTGACATCACCCTACTTGTTTGGGTTATGAATATGCAAAATTCTGACAAACTGTAATATCCATAAATTTCAGTAATACCCTGGAACACTGTAGGAAAACTAATAAACCTTGTGTGGCAGGAACTGAGTGAGAACCAGTCGACTCCCAAGAAAGAGAAGCAAGAGTGGCTGTCCAAGCAGAAAGAGAATATCCAGCACTTCCAGGTGAGGATTTTTCTGACACTTTGCACACTTTCAGGACTCAGTGATGATGTTACACAGCTGTGATGATTAATTTGCAGTGAACAGAATCTCTAACATTAGCAAAACTTGTCTTCCATCCAAGTACTGTGCAGGTCCAACCCTGCTGAGCTGATCTCTGCCCGAAAGCTGCTTTTTTTGCCAAATCTTCTCAAGAGTTTGAAGTGTTCGATTTACAGTTAATTGTTGTTATGCCACAATGTGTCCGTTTCCAGGCAGAGGAGGAGGCCAACCTGCTGAGGAGACAGAGGCAGTATCTGGAGCTGGAGTGTCGGCGCTTCAAACGCAGGATCCTCATCGCCAGACACAACGTGGAGCAGGATCTGGCCAGAGAGGTGCTCACAAAGAAGAACCAAACACCACCACACTTACTTTACCCCTCTTACTTTATTTAGATGTATTTTTTTTTATTTGTTCAACCTCTCTGTTCTTCAGGAGCTGAACAAACGGCAAACTCAGAAGGACCTGGAGCATGCTATGCTACTCAGGCATCACGAGTCCATGCAGGAGCTGGAGTTCAGGCACCTGGGGACGATCCAGAAGGCCCGGGCAGAGCTAATCCGCACCCAGCACCAGACAGAGCTCACCAACCAGCTGGAATACAATAAAAGGAGGGAGAGGGAGCTGAGGCGCAAGCATGTCATGGAGGTCCGGCAGCAGCCCAAGAGCCTCAAGGTACACAGACCGATGGAGAGCTGTTTGGTTTCCTCCTTGAATGCTGTTCTGCACACAAAACACTTCGGGGGGTTAAACACTCACATTCACTGCTTTCATTTCTTTTCCTTCTTTAGTCTAAGGAGCTTCAGATTAAGAAGCAGTTTCAGGAGACATGCAAAACTCAGACTAGGCAGTACAAGGCCCTCAGGAACCATCTGCTGGAGACCACGCCCAAGTCTGACCACAAGGCCGTGCTCAAGAGGCTGAAGGAGGAGCAGACCAGGAAGCTGGCCATCCTGGCCGAGCAGTATGACCACTCCATCAATGAAATGCTCTCCACGCAGGCTGTGAGTACCTGAAGCAGAAACATAAACCATTTCTGACATGATAATTAAACAGTCTTCAGGTTTTAATATTGCCGCCATGCAAAACAGCCATAGAAGAACTTTGTGTAATGAAATCTAAGCAAAATTAATATTTAAATTTTGAAATTGCGAAACTGACCGCATGTAAGTGAGACTAGGAATCTATGAATAAGTTCTGAATGAGCTCTTTATGTACAGTGCAGTAAGTATTTGTCTTGACCCAGCACATTCCCTTGTAGGGTCGATAAAGCCGACAAAGTAAGTCCTCAAAAGTTTGTAAAAAATCTTGAATCCTCTGCACGAATGCTATCAAATATTGTAATCCAGATGCAGGATTATCAAGAAAAGACTTTGCATGTTTTTTTTTTTTTTCCCTCTCTTTTGCTTGGCTGCCCTCAGCTGCGGTTAGATGAGGCTCAGGAGGGAGAATGTCAGGTTCTAAGGATGCAGCTGCAGCAGGAGCTGGAGCTGCTCAACGCCTACCAGAGCAAGATCAAGATGCAAACAGACGCACAGCATGACAAGGAGAGGAGGGAGCTGGAGCAGAGGGTGTCTCTGCGGAGGGCTCTGCTGGAGCAGAAAGTAAGAAAGGCTCTGGGCTCTGTCTAGTAATATTAGTGTGCCAGTAAATTTGGGAGAGACAGTAGACTATGTTTAGAATTTTGGTCATGGGATTCCCCTTGTGTTGACATTCACAGACTGCATCTCACACACTGTTTCTAATCTGGGTGATTTATTGCTCCTGTTACATTTTTATTCACTGTGGGCTCATTTTTTAACTGTAATATCAATATAGAGAACTCAGAAATGTCCTATGTGCTATATGGCACAGGTATAACGGCTTAAAAAAATTAAACTAAAAAAACTGAAATCAACATGAATAACATTTTCTATGGGTCAAATATGTACAAAAAAAAAGTGACTATACACTGTAGATGTTTTCATAAATTACATGTTTGATTTGTTTCTATATTTTCTGTCTGCTTTGTGTAGACACAGCCTGAAGTTCAGCAAAAATGTCCCTGAGTTTGTGTCATGTGACTGTCAGTCACAGCGGACTTGCTTTTTATTTTTTAATCTGTTTAGTGCAAACAGTTTGTTTTCGACATATTCTGTAAACTAAAGTGATTTTGTCGATTCAACATTTCGATTTGGCTAAGTTTTCCAGTGGATGCATGTCAGACTCATGGAAACTTGAAAATCTGATGGGTTTTTCATTTTTTACCATTTCAGCTTTAAGTGTTTTAGTTTTTCTTATCATTATACCTTCAGTATTAGGGGATTTATTTATTTTTTGTCCTGTGCAGTGTCACGTCTCCTTCATTTTGAAATGACTTCTTCACTGTGTTTTCTCCCCAGATTGAGGAGGAAATGCTCTCCCTGCAGAACGAGCGCCTGGAGCGAATCCGCTCGCTGCTGGAGCGCCAGGCCCGAGAAATCGAGGCCTTTGACTCAGAGTCCATGCGGCTGGGCTTCAGCAACATGGTGCTCACCAACCTGGCTCCCGATTCCCAGGGAGGCTGGGGGGGAGGAGGTGGAGGAGGCCAGGGGGCTCAGGGGGGAGGCCACTGGCCCGGAGGAGGTGGAGGAGGCGGCCACCATAGTCATCACCACCAGGGGGGCTCCAGCTCACAGCAGCCCTGGGGTCACCCGATGCTGGCTGGGGGCCCACCGCCGTGGAGCCTCCACCACCCCGGAGGAGGGAGTCAGAGGGGCAGCCAGGGAGGCGCGGGAGGGGTGAGGAACAGCCCACAGGCTATGAGGAGGACGTCATCAGGGGGGAGGAATGAACAGGGCATGAGCAGGAGCGCCAGCATCACCTCTCAGATCTCCAACGGATCCCACCTGTCCTACACCTAGAACACACACAAGCAACACAATAACTGTCTTAAAGTTAAACTCTTGTGCGCCGAGGTAACACTGTACACACAGACACACACCACACATGCTTCACACACACTTGCTGTTAGTGCATCTCACACCTTTCAGTACTGAGACCGGGTTAACTCGGCCCGGTTCTTCCCCCGTCACCACTGCTCTCTTACATCAGTGTGCAGCGAGCAGCCGTCTGTGGAAACCCAGGAGAGCTGGAGCTAATCCAACATGGCTGAGGGCCATTTACAGTATGCCACAGTGCAATAGTGTCATTTTTACTGCAGCCTCTAGTGCTAATTAATGTGTTTGTTTATGCCATGTTAGTCTCTGTTGCCATAGACACAAAAGTAAAATATTCATATTATCTACCAGAGTTTATTATCAAGAGTGGTTTGTTTGCAGTTGTTTTTTTTTTTTTTGCAGTATGTTGTTTCGCTCTTCAGTGGGCTAAATCAGTTTTTCGAAGATGCCACCCAGTAAGGTGCATTATGGGAAAATCTGTGTTCAATGTGCAGTTTTTCAAAATAGCATTTGCAAATTTGTCTGTGTGCAGATTCGTTCGAGCTCAAGATTTAAACGCAGATGTGTTACTGATAGAAAGTTTCATGAGATTATCGTTTGTGTGCAGTTCCAGGGGAGATGACAACTCAGGAGGTACTGACGGGGTGTAAAACTGATGATTGTATAACGGACAGTTTCAGACGACGAGTTAACCGGCAGAAAAAGAGAAGGAGGGTCATTGTAAGTTAGTAAAAGTGTGTATCGCTGACTTTACAGTCGTAGCACAGGGACGGTTACGGCGTCTGCGGAAAGTACACTATCGTTCAATCTGCACTGCCAGACAAGAAATCTAAGTGATGCAGAACTTGTGGTGTAGTGATTTGTCGGAGCACAATAGCAAGTGTCAAATACCACACAGGAATTTCAGTCCCTGGCGTTACGTGTCGACCGTGAACAAGGCTGCTGAGATGCCAAAGGTAAAGGTGCAGAGTCGGATTTGTCATTCTAACTATTCATGCCATGTGTTTGTATTTCAAGAAATCGTGCCAGAGTAGCTCAGTTTAGTTGATGCCACGCGGCCAAGTAGAGTGTAGCCGGACTAGAAGAGAGAAGGGAGTCATTCATCTCCTGCAGCTTTATTGGCTCAGCTCTCGGGTTTCCACAGACCTCTGCGCTTCACTCACACCTGCCCAGTGGACGGCCAGTCTGAGGGAAGCTGTAGCCTCATTAGTCCACAGCCCTCAGGACAGGGATGGGTTTCAGCAGCACCTAACCTCTACTTGAATAGCTTCACAACTGGTGTTCTCTCTCTGTCTCTCTCTGTCTCTCTCTTCACTTGTTTGCTGTAATTTCCCATCTAATCTGACACTTTTTAGTGATGCAGTAAAAAACAAAACAAAAAAACATACAAACTGAACCATGCCTGCTTGCCTACCTCAAGTAGAGCTCCACCACAGGGAGTCGAGACTTGACAATGACTTGCACTTTGGCACAGGCCTTCACTTACAGTAAACATCAGTCAGACACACACACACACACACACACACATGCATACAAACACTAGTTGTTGATTTTTATTCCCCAAACACTATGTAAACTTGGCTGTAAATGCATGTAGGATTGAAAGTGTAAAATGTCAAAACTTAAGGGGAAAAGAGCACATTTAGAAGCCAAGTTAGATGTAAATGAGCAACACACAGTCAAACACTTTAACTCTTTGAGCAGCGACATTGCCTAAAAACTTCCCCGTTTGTTTTTTTTTTTACTCTTCTAAGAATCCCTTTTTAAGACCCTAGACTTAACAGGAATGAACACAGTGTGAAGAGGAGCTTCTCCAGCCCTCTGCTGGTTGGTGGCTGCTGAATGTCTCCGTGGACGGATGGGCGGTGATGCTGTGATCTCCGCTGCCATGCCCCTGCAACCTTCCCCAGTCTGACACCCCGCTCTGTCTCACCCCTGATGACCCCCCAAAGTCACATTCTGACCACCGATCTCCCTGCTTCCCTCCCACCTTCGTTTCCTCCCCTCCTGAGCCTTTTGTGGTCGTCACCCCCTCCCTGATCTAACGAGGGGGAAAGAGCTCTTCAAGTGAAAGGAAATAAAAAAAAGAAAAGTTAAAAAAAAAAAAGATGAAAGAAATATATATATGTATTATTATATAAGTCTATGGAAAAAAGAAGGATTATAGAGAAGATAAAGGTGGAAGTGTTATTGCAAAATGCAGAGATTATGCATTATATGATTTTTCTTCAGTGGTGGAATGTACAGGAAACGTGTTAATAGTGTATATTTTGAATTTGAACATATGGAAATCTAATTGACAAATCAAAGACAAATTAAGTTGCGATGCGGGCACAATGGTGTGGCTTCAGACCAGCGGCGGTCAGATGGACGTTCGAGTTACAGCCGCTGAGTTTTCACTGTCTCACTTGCAGCTGCGAGTTCGGAAACTTGTTACAGATATTCTGTTGTGAATGATAACAACACAACTTTAGGTCAGATTGCCTTAAAGAAATGGCAACGTTTTCTTTAATAGTGTATGAGGATGATTTTTGCACATAATTTGAAATCTAGTTAGGTGTAGCCTTTGCTGTAGCATCGGCTATATTTTACTGACATTATTCTACCCGATAGAGAAGACTTGAGCTGTCTTTGTTTAGGAGGTCCGTGGTTTTTAGAAGACTCTCAGGCCTGAAGTAAAGGTTATAATATAGAGAAAGAACTGTCTTTTAAGAATCTGAAAAAAACTGCTGAATTCTAAAACAATATTTGGTGCACTCTACAACCTCCAATTGCTTCCAAATTCTTGCACAAGACAGAAAACGGTTACTCTCGGTCATGTGGGATCCACTGACGTTATTTGGGCTTTTTTTTTTTTTCAGAATATACACCAAGTATTTTCACACTGCACTTCATTGTTTTTGCCTTCTTTTTAAAAAAAACAACAAACTTCCCACCCTGCACTCAAAACATATAATCCTAGTTTTGTTGGCTCAGTTCTGAAAACAGAAAGTTTGCCACTGTACCCAACATCTTTTATCAACCTTTTTTTTTTTTTTTTTTTCAAGCTCTTTAGTGTTTTTATGCCAGAAAAAGGTCATTCTTTTATTTTCCAGATGATGTCTGCAGAGGGCCAAACGAGTGGCGGATTTTTTAGACCTTCTCTTGTGTTTACTAGAACTCCCAGCAGGTGTTTTGCGAGGCAGTCAAGGAGGGCAGAGTCTAGCTTTAGACCTTGGTCGCTCTGAACTGGATCAGTTGCACTGATTGCACAAGTGACTGACCAGATCAAAGAGTCTACTGTGATCCCGTCCTCGGCGTGCTGAGGGGCGGCTGCCATTGGCTGAAAGTAGGCGGGAGGCAGGGTTACGTCTCTGTACAGTCTGTTTATCAGTATTCCTTTTATCTCCTGTCATTTGGTGGATCTTGCTGTTTTATTCTCCCTGGTCCAGAGATCTGTATTAAACTGTATGAAATTGTATAGATTGTGCAAAGAAAAAAAATAAAAAATAAAAAATCTGAATGTTGCATAGCAGAAGAGAAAAGATATTCCTTACAGATGACAAAGTGATTTAAAATGTATAAAAGAAATTCAGAAGCAAAGTTTAGGGGATAAATGTAATATTTTGTTTGTAATTACTATTTTTTGTTGGAAGAGGGCTACTGGATAAAGAATCATCTGTAATAAAGTAATTTTAATATTTCTTGGTCTCGTGGTGTTTTGTGTGTCAGAACGCTCCTCAACAAAGTATTTTTTTAAAAAAATTAAAAAAAAACCTTTGTGTGAAAGCTTTGCACTGTTTGAAAATGCCTGAGGTTTAATATTTTTGAATGGATTTAGTGCTACAGTGTTGTTTCAAGCCCAGACAAAGAAAGACTTACTCAAGTTGTTTAACCTGTTTTTTTTATGTATATATATAAAGGGAGGGTTTATTAAAAGCAGCCAGCAGCTACATGGCTTGAAAACTTGTTGCTTTATTAACCCTATTCAGTACTTTCATGTTACCATGTGTAGAAGGTCTTTGGGGGTCCATTGGACCCCAACAAAGAATATGTGCAAAATATTTGTTGGTATTCATTGTAGACTTTTATACGATGTTAAATATATTTTCTGAGAAGTTTTTGGTTCCAAATGAATGACAAATGTCTCTCTTTTTATATTAAAAAAAAAAATCTTCACAAATAGAAAAACAACACCTGTCTCCTAAACCAAATGGCCTGGGGTCCAAAAGACCCCAAAAGTCCTGAATAGGGTTAAGTAACTTGTCTGGATAAATGTTAATAAATACAAAATGATGATCTTAGTTTTAAAATCTACATACAGAGATTTTTTGTTTAAATGTCAGACAATTTTTTCCAAACCATGATTCTTCTTGACAACCGTAGTTTTACACATTTTTCTTTCTTAACTCACAATTTTGTTTTTTTGCTCACTTTCCCATTTCTGCTGTTTCTGTTTGTCTTTCGTCATCCTAAGAATCCAGCTGCAGATAAATATTTTGTAAAAATGTGTCCATAGTTGATCAGCTCTCCTCCTTCACCATCTCTCAGCGCGTATACGACCTCTTCCAGGTGAACTCCCCCTCATCGGCCTCCTCGTACATCTGTTCAGCATTCTGTGGTCTTGGCCTCCTTGTCATGGCGGCTCTCCTCCTGCGTGGAGGAGCCACATTTCTGATCCAGCTCCTCTGCCCTGTTGTGCTGTTTTCGTCCAGTGGAACGCTCCAGCTGCCCCCATCCCTCTGCTCCCCTTTCAGGAAATCAGCCACCACTCTGAAGTACTCCAGAACTGTGATGTGACTCCACACACCTTCCTCCACCTGCTCACCTCCAGTCCTCTTCTCCTCCTCCGTCTGCTCCAGAGTGAACCCACAGTGCCCTCCTCTGTCCGTCAGCACCAGAAGGAAGTAAGGGTTGCTCAGGAAGAGGGGAAGGGGCAGCGTGGAGGTAGGTGGGAGCAGAGGGTCGTCGCTGCTGCAGATGCACAGCACTGGGACCGCCACCTCATCTGCATCCCTCAGCGGTTCGTTCCTCTCCCAGTAGCTCTCCCAGTCCTTGGCTGGGTAAGCTCTCTCTCCCAGTGCCCAGACCACGGAGGGTGCCAGGCCCTGGGGGGAGTCAGATCCTGAGCTCAGTCCAGAGTTTGATTTTGGTTGAAGCTGCACTGAAGGGCAGAAAAGAGTTTCTTCAAAGTCTTTCAGGGAGGAACAGCTGAGGGCCCGGTCCACATCCAGGACTCCTCTGAAGGAACTCGTATATCTTAAACCAGATGTGGAAGCAAAAATATAGACATTATTCTATTCATGTCACATTCAAATCTGTGTTGTAATATATTTTCATTTTGCTCTAATTTCTCTCACCTGCTGAGCTGCAGTTTCCGGTGAAATAGTGCCCCCCACCGATAAACCGGAGGCATGACTGTTTCAAACCACAGCTGTCCCTGAAGCACAGGTGAGATGGCTGCTGCTGCTGTCAGGTGAGTGCTGGATCCACACTCGCCCAGGTAGGAGAGCAGGATCCCCGAACCTGAACCTTCACTCACCGCGACCAGCAGAGAGGACGGGTGGCGGCTGTGCACGTAAGATATAGCCTGGAGAGGGAAGACATCAGAGATACAATCACCACCAGGTAAAAAATACACAATGAATGAACAAAACGCCAGCTTTGCAGCAACATGACAACAACATGAATAAAACCTTCTCTCAGTGACACTTTGTGCAGACAGTAAGAGTCTCCTGAAGATAAATCACTGTGAAAATGTCCGTATTTCTAATGCTTTTTGAACAAATATAGAGTATACATATATTCCCATCAACTTCATTTTAACTTGTATATTTAGTGGTAATTTGCAAATATTAGTTGCCGAGAAGCTAAAATAAGATTTGTGGTAAACATACTTGACAATGAGCAAATTATTTCTTCAAGGAGAGAAACCACAATGAGTCAAGTGACAGTTTTAACTAATAGATATCAACATAAAACTTTCCCAGTTAATTATTTCCAATTAGTTTTCTGAAATGTTGTGTTTAAATATGCAAGGAGGGATAATGTGTGTAGAAGTGCTTTAATTTGCATACACTTCTAGGATTGGAAATTAGATAAAGCATGGATGAAAAATTCTTGTTTTATTGTGTTGACATATTAGAGTCAAAGTTTTTCACAAAGGGAATTTTAGATATTTCTTTTTAATGCTCCATAAATTCCAAAATACTGTCAACAGCCAGAAAAATAATCAATTTTCTTTGTGTTTTCAGAAATAAAATCGTCAGGCTGCGGATGATAAATTAACAAAACCGTCTGTAATGACATTTAGATTGTGGCTCAGAGTAAGAAGAAAAAAAATATGTTCAAAAAACAGCCCCTAAGTTTCCTATATTTTTACAACTAAAAATTAACATATCACCAAGAAACATTCGTAGCTGATAACAATTTGTTTGTGTTACAAGTTTTGAGAAATGTTATTTTTAAATATGCAAATCAGGTGTTAAATATTTAATTGACATACAAGAGTAAAATGTTTTTGCAGAGGGGAGCTTTGAATGTCTTTTTTAATCACTCAGTGAATTAGAATAATCCTGTCAACAGCCAGAAAAAAAAAAAAATGCAATTTTCCATCATGTTTTTAGGAATATAATCCTCTGTAAATCAGACTGTGAATGATATATGACTAAACTCTTTATAAACTCTGCAAAAACCTTCAGAGTTAAGATGGAAATTAAATCAGAAAGCTTAGTGTCTGTATGTGCTCCTGTAGTGGAGGTTTCTCTTTCATACCAGGAGAAGAAAACAGCTTCTAAATCTCAGATGTTTTTTTTTAATGCAAACCACTGACTACATGTAAAACCAACAAACATATTACAAAAAAAATCTCCCCCAGTTGATTACTTACATTAAAAAAAATTGCTGTTACAAGCAGTTTTTTTTTTTTTTTAAATAAAATTTTGTTTAAATATGCAGATGAGCTGTTATGTCATTACAGATGTGCTAATTTGCTGAATTGTCTAATAGTTTAAGGTATAAACTTTTAACTTTTATTTTGGGCGTTTTCTCTTTTATGTTTCATCTAATCTAATTGCAGCTTGTCTATTCATTAACAGTCCAGTAACAAAAGTTATTTACTTTATCATGATATAAAACAGGAAGAAATAACTCCGTCCTGTGAGCACAAGAAAACTTCCCCTAAACAGGATTCAGATTTTCTTACCTGTTCGAGATCAGCTGGGTCTCCGAACTCGGTGAGTCGAGCTGTGGTCAGCGGGCAGCTCGAGGTGCCCCGTGGGTGAAACACCACCACATAGAAGCCCTGCTGCATGGCCTGGTGACACAGCGCCTTCATGTGGGGGGTCAGCCCTCCCCAGGCCTGAGGGATGAGGAGGAGGACGGGAGGCGTCGGGGTGAAGCAGCCCAGCGACTTCCCCCCAGACTGCTGCTCCTTCCGACCCTCCCACCTCCTCCTGGCCTCACCCAGCCTCGTCCCCACAGCCCAGTCCAGAGCAACGATGCCCCCGTCCCTCAGCAGAAGGTGGTCTCTGGTGAACTGCAGCGTGTCCCCCTGTTGTCCCCACAGCAGGCTGGACATAGTCTGGAGGTGGGGGTCTCCTCTGGGCCAGCTGGCCAGTCTGGACCTGGCCAGAGGGCCGCAGTGTCGGAGCAGGTATCTGGCCAACGCGGTGTGTTTGCAGATGAGCCGGGGTCCATCTGAGGCCTGAGCTGACCCCGATGAGATGTCCCACCCGATTGGTTTGGCCCCCTCTCTTCTTGTGTTCTTATGCAGCGGCAGCTCCAGGATCAGACAGACGGTGACCCAGAATCTCCAGGCCGCAGCTTGGACAGCCGACCTGGTCCAGCAGCGAACTGTGGGGCGGTGGAGGGCCACGGACAGCAGGACGAGCAGCAGGGACGGGAGCAAAAACAGCAAACAATCCCACACAAATGACGCCATTAGTCAATACAGAAGACTGTGGTTAAATTCAGTGTTTTACTTTGATTTCTTTAGAGAAATTTAACTCCTATTTTTTCTTCTTCTTCAGGAAGCCATGTTAAAGTCCAGGCTGGCTGATGTTCTGCATAGAAACCAGTCTGCAATGAAGAGACACAAAAAAAAAGAAGTGGAGGAAATGTAAGTTGTGGTCTGTCCACTCTGCTGCTCCCCCTCCGTCTCTCCTCCCTCCATAAATCATTTACTTACAAGCTCTGATAGAAACTGAACAAACACAGACCACATAAATCTGTCCCATTAACAGTATGCGATCGTAGTCTGTGACCTTGCTGCACGTCTCTGATTGTTTCTTTTACATTCTTAACCTCAGTTTACCTGCGAATATGAGTCGCTACAGTGTTGGACTGTTGAATTGCATCTTGTAAATTTTTATTTGACAGGTTTACTCCCACTCTGACAGTATAAAGAGGTCATAAACTTAATATACATTCTCACTTCCATTTTAACGTGGTTGAAGGGAGCAGAGTCGAGGGCGTTTCTTAAATGGAGTCAATAAAATAAAAGAAATAGCTAATGAGAGCTGATGTTTTATCAACACTGAATCAGAAGTTTGTGTGGTNAAAAAAAAAAAAGATGAAAGAAATATATATATGTATTATTATATAAGTCTATGGAAAAAAGAAGGATTATAGAGAAGATAAAGATGGAAGTGTTATTGCAAAATGCAGAGATTATGCATTATATGATTTTTCTTCAGTGGTGGAATGTACAGGAAACGTGTTAATAGTGTATATTTTGAATTTGAACATATGGAAATCTAATTGACAAATCAAAGACAAATTAAGTTGCGATGCGGGCACAATGGTGTGGCTTCAGACCAGCGGCGGTCAGATGGACGTTCGAGTTACAGCCGCTGAGTTTTCACTGTCTCACTTGCAGCTGCGAGTTCGGAAACTTGTTACAGATATTCTGTTGTGAATGATAACAACACAACTTTAGGTCAGATTGCCTTAAAGAAATGGCAACGTTTTCTTTAATAGTGTATGAGGATGATTTTTGCACATAATTTGAAATCTAGTTAGGTGTAGCCTTTGCTGTAGCATCGGCTATATTTTACTGACATTATTCTACCCGATAGAGAAGACTTGAGCTGTCTTTGTTTAGGAGGTCCGTGGTTTTTAGAAGACTCTCAGGCCTGAAGTAAAGGTTATAATATAGAGAAAGAACTGTCTTTTAAGAATCTGAAAAAAACTGCTGAATTCTAAAACAATATTTGGTGCACTCTACAACCTCCAATTGCTTCCAAATTCTTGCACAAGACAGAAAACGGTTACTCTCGGTCATGTGGGATCCACTGACGTTATTTGGGCTTTTTTTTTTTTTCAGAATATACACCAAGTATTTTCACACTGCACTTCATTGTTTTTGCCTTCTTTTTAAAAAAAACAACAAACTTCCCACCCTGCACTCAAAACATATAATCCTAGTTTTGTTGGCTCAGTTCTGAAAACAGAAAGTTTGCCACTGTACCCAACATCTTTTATCAACCTTTTTTTTTTTTTTTGTTCAAGCTCTTTAGTGTTTTTATGCCAGAAAAAGGTCATTCTTTTATTTTCCAGATGATGTCTGCAGAGGGCCAAACGAGTGGCGGATTTTTTAGACCTTCTCTTGTGTTTACTAGAACTCCCAGCAGGTGTTTTGCGAGGCAGTCAAGGAGGGCAGAGTCTAGCTTTAGACCTTGGTCGCTCTGAACTGGATCAGTTGCACTGATTGCACAAGTGACTGACCAGATCAAAGAGTCTACTGTGATCCCGTCCTCGGCGTGCTGAGGGGCGGCTGCCATTGGCTGAAAGTAGGCGGGAGGCAGGGTTACGTCTCTGTACAGTCTGTTTATCAGTATTCCTTTTATCTCCTGTCATTTGGTGGATCTTGCTGTTTTATTCTCCCTGGTCCAGAGATCTGTATTAAACTGTATGAAATTGTATAGATTGTGCAAAGAAAAAAAATAAAAAATAAAAAATCTGAATGTTGCATAGCAGAAGAGAAAAGATATTCCTTACAGATGACAAAGTGATTTAAAATGTATAAAAGAAATTCAGAAGCAAAGTTTAGGGGATAAATGTAATATTTTGTTTGTAATTACTATTTTTTGTTGGAAGAGGGCTACTGGATAAAGAATCATCTGTAATAAAGTAATTTTAATATTTCTTGGTCTCGTGGTGTTTTGTGTGTCAGAACGCTCCTCAACAAAGTATTTTTTTAAAAAAATTAAAAAAAAACCTTTGTGTGAAAGCTTTGCACTGTTTGAAAATGCCTGAGGTTTAATATTTTTGAATGGATTTAGTGCTACAGTGTTGTTTCAAGCCCAGACAAAGAAAGACTTACTCAAGTTGTTTAACCTGTTTTTTTTATGTATATATATAAAGGGAGGGTTTATTAAAAGCAGCCAGCAGCTACATGGCTTGAAAACTTGTTGCTTTATTAACCCTATTCAGTACTTTCATGTTACCATGTGTAGAAGGTCTTTGGGGGTCCATTGGACCCCAACAAAGAATATGTGCAAAATATTTGTTGGTATTCATTGTAGACTTTTATACGATGTTAAATATATTTTCTGAGAAGTTTTTGGTTCCAAATGAATGACAAATGTCTCTCTTTTTATATTAAAAAAAAAAATCTTCACAAATAGAAAAACAACACCTGTCTCCTAAACCAAATGGCCTGGGGTCCAAAAGACCCCAAAAGTCCTGAATAGGGTTAAGTAACTTGTCTGGATAAATGTTAATAAATACAAAATGATGATCTTAGTTTTAAAATCTACATACAGAGATTTTTTGTTTAAATGTCAGACAATTTTTTCCAAACCATGATTCTTCTTGACAACCGTAGTTTTACACATTTTTCTTTCTTAACTCACAATTTTGTTTTTTTGCTCACTTTCCCATTTCTGCTGTTTCTGTTTGTCTTTCGTCATCCTAAGAATCCAGCTGCAGATAAATATTTTGTAAAAATGTGTCCATAGTTGATCAGCTCTCCTCCTTCACCATCTCTCAGCGCGTATACGACCTCTTCCAGGTGAACTCCCCCTCATCGGCCTCCTCGTACATCTGTTCAGCATTCTGTGGTCTTGGCCTCCTTGTCATGGCGGCTCTCCTCCTGCGTGGAGGAGCCACATTTCTGATCCAGCTCCTCTGCCCTGTTGTGCTGTTTTCGTCCAGTGGAACGCTCCAGCTGCCCCCATCCCTCTGCTCCCCTTTCAGGAAATCAGCCACCACTCTGAAGTACTCCAGAACTGTGATGTGACTCCACACACCTTCCTCCACCTGCTCACCTCCAGTCCTCTTCTCCTCCTCCGTCTGCTCCAGAGTGAACCCACAGTGCCCTCCTCTGTCCGTCAGCACCAGAAGGAAGTAAGGGTTGCTCAGGAAGAGGGGAAGGGGCAGCGTGGAGGTAGGTGGGAGCAGAGGGTCGTCGCTGCTGCAGATGCACAGCACTGGGACCGCCACCTCATCTGCATCCCTCAGCGGTTCGTTCCTCTCCCAGTAGCTCTCCCAGTCCTTGGCTGGGTAAGCTCTCTCTCCCAGTGCCCAGACCACGGAGGGTGCCAGGCCCTGGGGGGAGTCAGATCCTGAGCTCAGTCCAGAGTTTGATTTTGGTTGAAGCTGCACTGAAGGGCAGAAAAGAGTTTCTTCAAAGTCTTTCAGGGAGGAACAGCTGAGGGCCCGGTCCACATCCAGGACTCCTCTGAAGGAACTCGTATATCTTAAACCAGATGTGGAAGCAAAAATATAGACATTATTCTATTCATGTCACATTCAAATCTGTGTTGTAATATATTTTCATTTTGCTCTAATTTCTCTCACCTGCTGAGCTGCAGTTTCCGGTGAAATAGTGCCCCCCACCGATAAACCGGAGGCATGACTGTTTCAAACCACAGCTGTCCCTGAAGCACAGGTGAGATGGCTGCTGCTGCTGTCAGGTGAGTGCTGGATCCACACTCGCCCAGGTAGGAGAGCAGGATCCCCGAACCTGAACCTTCACTCACCGCGACCAGCAGAGAGGACGGGTGGCGGCTGTGCACGTAAGATATAGCCTGGAGAGGGAAGACATCAGAGATACAATCACCACCAGGTAAAAAATACACAATGAATGAACAAAACGCCAGCTTTGCAGCAACATGACAACAACATGAATAAAACCTTCTCTCAGTGACACTTTGTGCAGACAGTAAGAGTCTCCTGAAGATAAATCACTGTGAAAATGTCCGTATTTCTAATGCTTTTTGAACAAATATAGAGTATACATATATTCCCATCAACTTCATTTTAACTTGTATATTTAGTGGTAATTTGCAAATATTAGTTGCCGAGAAGCTAAAATAAGATTTGTGGTAAACATACTTGACAATGAGCAAATTATTTCTTCAAGGAGAGAAACCACAATGAGTCAAGTGACAGTTTTAACTAATAGATATCAACATAAAACTTTCCCAGTTAATTATTTCCAATTAGTTTTCTGAAATGTTGTGTTTAAATATGCAAGGAGGGATAATGTGTGTAGAAGTGCTTTAATTTGCATACACTTCTAGGATTGGAAATTAGATAAAGCATGGATGAAAAATTCTTGTTTTATTGTGTTGACATATTAGAGTCAAAGTTTTTCACAAAGGGAATTTTAGATATTTCTTTTTAATGCTCCATAAATTCCAAAATACTGTCAACAGCCAGAAAAATAATCAATTTTCTTTGTGTTTTCAGAAATAAAATCGTCAGGCTGCGGATGATAAATTAACAAAACCGTCTGTAATGACATTTAGATTGTGGCTCAGAGTAAGAAGAAAAAAAATATGTTCAAAAAACAGCCCCTAAGTTTCCTATATTTTTACAACTAAAAATTAACATATCACCAAGAAACATTCGTAGCTGATAACAATTTGTTTGTGTTACAAGTTTTGAGAAATGTTATTTTTAAATATGCAAATCAGGTGTTAAATATTTAATTGA